ATGAAATTGGTTGTAAATTGGTTCATGTTAATATGTTAAAACCCTACCTAATTAAGGAAAATTTGGTGTTATATGCCATTAAAGAGGTAAAGGGAGAGAAAATTACAATTCCAAATTGGAAACCTAAGAAAGTTTTGGAAGGAAGTGCACAAGAGGTTACTCTTGACCCTTCCCTTACTTATAAGAAAGAAGAAATAATTGGCCTGATCAACAAATACAAGAACATCTTTTCAAATCTACCCAGTAGAGTAAAAGGAGTGTACCACTGTATTAGAACTGGAGATGCTTATCCCATTGCTACTTCTCCATATAGAGTAACTGGTCATTTGGTTGATAGCATTGTACTGGAACAAGAAATCTTCAGATCCTACAAATTAGTTCTTATTTCACCCAATAGGGACACTGCAACCTTGTCTTCTCAATTTGAAAATAAAATCTTATTTTAGGCTTCTGTAATTCATAAGATATTTCCTTAATGGATTTCACTCCTGCAAATTTGCCTAGCAAAGGAAAACCAACAGAGCCAGGAAGGAGGTTGCTGCCCTTTCTGGCAGTAGCACAAAATATACATATAGCATCCCTGGTGTCTCTTCATCATCTTTTATTATTATTGCTACTAGTACAGATGTTTTGTAGCCAATTCCTCCAACTAGTGAAGCAATGCCAAACCCCTTGATGTGAATGAGATATGTGCCAGCAAAGAAGTTTAAGAATCATAATCTGGGACTTGTAAAATTTACCTTTTTGAAAAAGGTTTAATTTAAAAAAGAAAAAAGAAACATACTTTAATCGAGGAAAAGAACTTAATCAGAGGAAAATGACTTTGCTCATTTTTGCTAATTTTTTTTTTTGTTCTACTAGCATGGCAATCAGAATCCTCAACAAACATGTACGAAACAAAAAATTACAGGCAAAATTAAGTTCAACTCACAGGAAGAACTACAACAAATAGGCTTTTATTTGGGGTAGTTTAACTACAGACAGATTCAGGCAAGACATTTGGATAAGAATGAATCAGATTTGGAAAAAGTACTCTGTTGATAGGGTTGCTGGGACATTCACAGTTTTTAACCCTTTGTGAATGTCCAGGCTTGGGTTTGGAACCAGTCCTAGCACCTCCTCCTCCACTACCACTGCCACCTCCTGCTGCACTTTTGGCACAGCACCTGTGGCAGCAAGCAAAGCTTAGCTACCTTGCTAGGCCTCGCTGGGGTTGAGGGGGTTTGGGGAGGGTCCTCCACTGCTGCCTGCTGTGCAGGGCCTTGGCCAAGGCCCAGAGTCATCCAGCAACATGGTGTGGTGGGAGGCCTCCCTGTTGCTGGGCCTGAGCAGCCACACTGCCCATACTCACACAGGGCCATAGCTGAAGCCCAGGGTCATTTGACTCCTGGGTCCTCCTCCTCTGCTGCCACTGCCACCACTTCTGCCTCCTGCCATGCTTTTGGCATGGCGATGGCATGTGAGGCCTTGCTGCCTTGCTAGGCTTTGCTGGGGTTAGGGGGGTTTCAGGGCCTCCACCACCACCTGGCATGTGGAGCCTTGGCTGGCTGGCTGGTCGGCCCCAAGGAGATGGAGGGAGGCCACCACAGCAAGACCTCTCTTCCGATAGCGGTGGAGCTAAGTGGGACCTCAGTCAGCTGACTAGGCCCCAAGGAGATGGAGGGAGGCTGTTTTTGCAAGGCCTCTCCTCCACTGGTGGTGGAGCCACTTGGGGCCTCAGCTGGTTGGCTAGGCCCTGAGGACCTGGAGGGAGGCCACCATGGCAAGGCCTCTCTGGTGGTGGCAGTTCTTGTGGTAGTAGTTGGCATCATGCTCCCCAGGAGCCTGGCTGGATGGATGGGGGATGGCAAAGGCTCTGGGTTCATATAAGGCAGATGAACACTTCCCTCCAGCCCCACCTGGGGCCCAGTTCATGAATTTATAATATTATTTTTTTAGTAATGTTTGTGGTTTTCAGTTGTCCTCCATTTCCCCACAGGTCTTAATGATATAGATAGATCAACCTTTTCATTCACTTGAGCATTTCACATTCCTCTTTCTGATCCCGCATCATACTTTTTGACTCTGGAGATGGCTTCCAATTGAGTCAGGGGGGAAGCAGACGGCACTTTGCACCATCTTGGAGGAAAGGAAGGGGGGCAGCCTCACGCTGGACGCCCCAACCCCTTCCCAAACATGTCATCAGAGCGGCCATCACTCCACACGATGAGTGCTCCGATGATGTACGTCCGCTGCAGGATCTGCACATGCTGAGGTGAAAGAGATGCCGAAGAGGCGCCCAACACCTCTTGTGGTGCCCCTTCCGCGCCTTGTGGAAGGAGCGCTATTTTAGCGCTACTTCCAGGGCCCGAAAAGGGGAGGGTTTGAGCCGAGGAGTGCGGCTACCTCGGCCCCAATCTGCAGCTTCTCGGGGCAGCCCATGGCTGCCCGTCTGCTGATGGTCTCAGTTTATACCCCTGATGCTGTTTTACTAGATCTTGCCTCTCACTTGTGCCTCTCAGCCACTCTCCAAACTGCTTTCAACCACCAAGAAAATGTTTGGTGCACCTGCCACTGTGTTCCCACAAACTGGCAGCCCAAAAGCTTGACCCCATCCTATTATTTGATGTCTCCCAATAAAGGTCAACTACCTGCTGCTGACCCACAGCTGCAATGTATATATTCTCTCTAGCCATAAAGAAAAAATCTTGAAATGGGAGGAAAGGCTGGTTCCAATCAATTAACCAGCCCCAGATGTGTTTGAAGCTACTATAATTCAAATTCAGTGAGTACCAGTAGTAGCACCTTCTTGTTGTGTGTCTTTAAGACATTTCTTGTTCTGTGTCTTTGAGTCATTTCTGACTTATGGAGACATTAAGGCAAATCTATCACAAGGTTTTCTTGACAGGATTTGTTCTGAAGGTTTTTGCTTTTGCCTTCTTCTGAGGCTGAGAGAGTTGCCCAAGATCACCCAGTGGGTTTCCATGGCTGAGCAGGGATTCCAACCCTGGTCTCCAGAGTCATAGGCCAACACTCAAAGCACTACACCACACTGGCATCTAGTTGGTAAATTATGTAATTGTTCCTACTAGGAAATATGAAGCCATTTTCCACTATGTCAGATCATTGGTTCGTGTAATGAAGTACTACCTACTCTGATTTGCAGCAGTTTTACAATATAATTTCTTTCAGGTCACCCATTATCTAAGGGGCTGTTCAGATGGCACAAAGCACTGTCTTAGAGCCAGGGAAGAGGAGGGACAGCCGGATGCAAGACACCACAACCCCTTCCCCAGGACATCATCAGAGGGCCCACCGTTGCACACAGCGAGCGCTCTGATGACGTCCTTCCAGCACAGCATTTTTACACGCTGCTCCAGAAGAGGCACAAAAGAGCTGCGTGGTGGCTCTTGTGGCACCCTTTCCATGGCTTCGGAAAGGAGCACTATTTTGGTGCTCCTTTCCCAGTCACCAAAAGGGTGGATTGGGGCTGAGGCATGGGGCAGCCTCGGCCCCAATCCTCTTCTTCTCAGGGCAGCTGACAGCCACCTGTCTGCATCCTCCCTAATATTGTTAAGTGGAAACTTCAAAGACTGAACTTGGGCCTTTGAGGAAGCTGCTAAATATTTCTGAATATCTATTAACTGAAGGGGAATGAAGAATCATTAAAAGAGCAAAGAGACAACATAGGGAAACAGCCTGCAAAGAGAAACAGAATGACAAAGGGAAAGGGCTTGTTAAAAAGAAGGTGAAGTAAGAATCAAAGGTGTCTGCATTCATGTGTTGGAAAAGAGAATAAAAGAGGTGATAGCAGCCATCCTTGTTTGAACATTTTTTGTTGTATTTCTTTGTTTAATGTTCTTTTAGAAATGAAATAAATAAAAGTCACAAAAATAAAAGACAATAAAAGAAAAGTCTAGGCATGGAGGAATGGAATAAAGTGGGGTAGAAATTCCTGGGGGTGGAGTTGGGATGGAGCAGCCACACGCTGGCCACCCCAACCCCAGCCCAATGCCATCCTGACTTTGTGGGTCTGTATGCACGGCACGCGGCATCAGGACACCCTCCCAGCACAGCGTGTAGACATGCTACACAGAAAGAGCATGGAAGAGCCATGGCACTGGCTCTTAGGGTGGCCTTTTGCCACCCCTAAAAGGAGTGACATTTTGCCACTCTTTTAGGGGCAGCAAAAGGGAGGATCAGGGCTGCAGTGTGCAGTCACCTCGGCCCCGATCTGCTGCTAGCAGGGGTGGCCTAGAGCTGCCTGTATGCATAGCCCCATAGTTTGGCTTTCCCAGGAACAATTACAGCTCACACCAGCCACTAGGATTGCTTTCTCTAATAGCCAAAGAACTTGAGGGAGTAGGGTATTCCTAAGTGGTATCTGCCTTGGCAGCAAAAAATATATTTTCCTCTTTCTCTCATTAGTTATTCTGCTTTAACTGCAATTACACCATCCTATCGATTCCTGGAATTTGTGGTTTGCTTTGGTACCAGAGCTGTCTGGTAGAGAAGGCTAAACATCTCTCAAAACTACAAATCCCAGAATTCCATACCATTGAGGCATGGCAATTAAAGAAAACTGCATTATTTCTGCAGTGCTGATTCAGCCTAAGTCCTGCTTCCATACTCATTTCAAGGACTACATGTTTTGGTTAATAGTGGATTATTGAAACCTAGTTAGTGGTGGTTGATAACTTTTATTTTATTTTATTTTCCTGTTGCGAAAAAAAAACACAATTTATCCATATAAGATGTGACCTATCCAATTAATTTTGATCTTATGTCCAAATAACAACAACAGCA